CAACGTTCCTGTTCCAAGTGGTACGGGTACGTTTTCCCAGTGTTATCCAATCTCACTGAGTGGGTAGTGCTACGACAACAGTGACTGGCCTTCTTGTTGCGAGCCCCAGCCTTCACCGAAAAGGGGGCGCATGAGGCTCGCGCACAGGACACTGGAAGGGGCAGCATCCATGGCGTTTTGGTAGGGATCCCAATTCGTCGGTCATTACCAACGTGACATCGAGAGTGACCGACTGAAAGGGAACGAGGGTTACATACGTAACAGAGACGTTATCTAAAAAGATGAGAGATACTTTTTTTGGAAAAAAAAACTCTCTTTAAAAAACTAAAAACTGAATGCTTATTTTACTGAAATTCTACTGGTATATAACTTGCATAATAATTTGGAACACAGTGTATGTAACCATGTAACCTGTAACCAAGATAGTTGGAATGTACCCCTAGTCCTAACTTTGTGGATTTGGGCTTCATTGAGAATCATATTTCTGTCTTAGATGCTTTCTTATAAACGTGAGTAAATATGAGACATCTTGAAACAAAATATATAAAAAATATTATTCATATTAGTTTTATCTCACTCATTTCTCTTTGTCCAGAGGACAACTTAAGGGCAACATCACAGTCCTCAAGAACTAAATTGTGTTCTCTATCAAGTGATCAGCATGATCACCTTGAAACTTCAAAACAATGATTTACAACTAGCTCTCACACATTTACCTTACATAAAGTTCTAATGTGCATTCAAGTTAATCATGTGCATGCAAAGGTAAAAGAAATCTGCACCTGAGGAAAAGCTCGAAGTGTTTCACTAGTGCCCTCAGGTTCTTTTCTGGTATGTGCATCTTCCTCAAGATTTCTGGAAGTTTAACTAAAAAAAATAAAAATAAAAATAAAATAAAGACTTAAAAATGTAAGTATAATTCCTTTAAATTATGACAACATTTTTAAACATATACAAGAAGCTGATATTCACCAAATAGCCGAAGCAGGTGCTGAGCGCCATAGAGGTAAGAAGGAGGGGGAAGCTGGTCACTCTGAGGGTAGTTTTCTGGTGTCAGTCTCCAGCTCAGAACCTCAAGACAATCACATAGGGGTGGACCAATTTAATGAGCTATTTTTTAAATTAGGTTATAAGCATATAAGCAGTATTGCACCAGAGCATGTTAAAGGGATAGTTCACCCAAAAATTAAAATTTACTGTTAATTTAGATACCCTCGAGCCATCCAAGATATAGAAAGGTGAGCTGATAAATAAAGTGTATTCACTTTATGTGCTTTAGACATGTAAAACATCCATGTTTCATCTTTTTTTCTTTAGTAGAACAGTAAAGATTTTTAGCTGAAGCTGTGGTCCTTGGTGATTCATAAATTTCAAGTCAGTGGCTGCCCTTCTTTGAGAATAAAAAAGCATATTAAGGAACACACATTTAATACCTGTGGCTCCTGACAATATAACAAGGTCTTATGAAGCAAAACGATTGGTCTGTGCAAGAAATTGAACATAATCCCTCTGGGGTCCGAGGGTGTTTTGGGGCCCTGGAAAGTTTTGACATGCCCTGACATTTGTGCTTTTTTAGTTGCTTACAAACATTTGAATGTCTAAAGTTTAATAACACTGTAATCAGCACAAACTGTGCTACAATAGTATGTGAGCAGCATGTATGTACGTGATTGTGTTTTTGAGAAAACAAGGTTTATGCGTGCTTAGTGAAAAACTACAATTTTAAAGTCACTGAAATATGACCATAAAACACATGCAGAACATTTGTTCACAAGACTGTTGAGAACTGGATCTTGAAGTCTAGAGTTTTTTCTTCAAAATTATGTGAAAATCATCTTACTCATTTACAGAAAACAATATATTGATTTAAATTCTGTAAGACACTTTTTGTGTAGAAAAGGTATATGCGAGGAGGTGTGAATGTTCATGCATAATGCTGTTATTCACACCTGAGAAGACAAAGGCCTGCATAATGAGCTGCATAATGAGCCTTTCAGTCAGGTGTGTGACTGAGAGGGAATTGCTACAAGAAAGAATGTAAGGAAAAAATAAATTTATATATTTTTTTGTTTGTAGTTTATTTAGAATACATATAACTATCACATAAAATAACTCAAGAGAGTGTGTGCTTCACATGGTCTTAGCTGTGGTCCAGGTTCCTGTGCAGGCAGGAATCTCAGAGCCTGTGGAACATGTCAACGTCAGTCTCTGGTTTCCATGACCAAGTGGGCTGTTTTGCTTTGGCTCTCTTTGCAACAGGTTCTTTTCCACTGTTATTCTCACATCTGAAATAAAAAAGTAAGCATGCTGTTTACACAAACTACATTATTAACATTATTATGATGTTCACTGATACTAGTACTAATTTATCGAAACAAAGAACACAATTACCAACCACATAGCAAACATAGTTTACCATACAGCAAATAAACCTTAACAGATTTAAATGCTGTATTACTCTTATATGTACGATCACGTATGAAGGAGCATTTTAAGTTATTTTGCTGTTATCATTCAAATCTGCAAGTGGTGCCGCCGGCGCCACCGTCGACCCCAGGAGGTTAATTACAACATTATTACCTGTAATCCATTGACTAGAGAAATCCTTGTTTTTTTTCAGCAAACTGGTTCTTTCAAACAGTTTGTTTCAATGAACAGAGTTACTTCACTATAGTTTATGTAATCACACAATGATGTAAGGTATACACAATTATATTAAACCACCCAATAATGATGTGAAACATGGATGTTTTACATGTCTGAAGCACATACAGTGAATAAACTTTCTTTATCTGCTCACCTTTTTACATAAACAATGAGAAACTATAAAAACTTTCATTTCACCCCTTTATTCAAGTGCTCGGTTTATACATGCACATATTACTAGCTCATCGATCTTCGGCCTGGGTCTGAACTGTTCAGTGTACTGTTGGAGGACCTAGAGTACTGATTGAGTTGGTAAAAACCAGCATGATAGGATCATATACGACAGTATTTTGGCTCATTTTGAGTCAGAGTGCCTGTCAGGCAGGTCCTAAAGTGAGTTTTGATGGAGTAACTTGAAGATCTGTGCTGCTTGAGCCGTGAACTGTTTCTGGTTCAATCAGTTCATTAAAACTGGTTCAAAAAGAATGATTCGTTCACAAACCGGACATCACCCCTGGACTGTTTGCCTGAGGCTATGGATTACTGGTAATAATGTCATAAATGTTTATTTTTTTGCACAGGCAAATTGTTTAGCTTCATAATACCTCAATATATTGTCAGGAGCCACAGGTATTAATTTTGTGTTCCTTGGCATGCTTTTTTATTCTCAAAAAGTAGCAACCACTAACTTTGATGAATTTTGAGTTTTCTAAAAGATTTTATGAATCACCAAGGACTACGGTTTCAGCTAAAAATTTTCTTTACTGTTCTACTCAAGAAAAAAAGTCACCTACATCTTGGCTGGCCTGAGGGAGATTTTTGGGTGAACTAACCCTTTAAGTATAGATCCTACATCTCTAACAGTGCAAGCATACAAAAAGATGCTTTAAACTATGCAGAGAATTCGTAAAAACACCAAAATGCATATTTAGTCTCCATAATTTCTTAATACAGTTATGGTTATACAGTATATATTATAAATATATATCTATATATAAACCTCTGTTTATCAGTTTGCACTGGCTACCAATAGCTGCTCGCAAAAATTCAAGGCATTAATGTTTGCCTACAAAACCACCAATGGCTCTGCACCCCTTTACCTAAATTCATTACTTCAGACTTATGTGCCCTCTAGAAGCTTGCGTTCTGCAAGTGAACGGCGCTATATTGTGCTATCCTAAAGAGGCACAAAATAACTTTCTCTGACTTTTAAATTAAATGTTCCCTCCTAGTGGAATGACCTGCCCAACTCAGTCCTTAGCCATCTTCAAGAATCGGCTAAAAACACATCTCTTCCATCTTTATTTGACCCTCTAACTCTAGCATTCTCTATTCAAATTCTATTCTTTATTTAAAAAAAAAAAACACTTGCCCCTTTTAGACTTGCACTCTATTTATTTACTATCTGCTTGTTTTCTTTTTAAAAAAAAAACTAACACTTGCTTCTCTAATCTTTTTGCATTCTATTTGATTTCTTTTTATTAATTATACAATTACAATTCTGACTTACTGACTTCTGACTAACAAAAGCAAAAAAGGCCTCTAACACTAGCTTGCTCTATTCTATCTGTTTTCTTTTTATTTATTATATGATTTGAAAAAAAAAAAACCTTGCTACGTGTACTGCATTAAGCTAACTGTATTGAAAAAAAAAAAACCTTGCTACGTGTACTGCATTAAGCTAACTGAGACTTGTTATAGCACTTGCATATCATTGCTCTTTTGTTGATTTTGATTGCTTCCATTGTCCTCATTTGTAAGTGGCTTTGGATAAAAGCGTCTGCTAAATGTCTAAATGTAAATGTAATGTAAATGTAAATAAGCATAGTATTTATAATATTAGTACTATTTATTTAGTATCTTATCGGTCTGTTTACCTGTCTGTTTTGTCAGATCTTATCTTGGTGTTTACCGGCTACATTTGTTATTATTAATCTAAGTACTTTACTGGAACTGTGACCTTTTATTTTTTTCTATTCAACAAGTACTGTTTTTTGTTTTCTTTAATAGTTTCGGTCATCTTGGAATATCTAAAGATACAAAAAGTGAAACTTTTTCCTAATATTAGGGAACCACACATAACTTCTGCTGAATTCGGTAGCTTAATGTTTCCTCCTCATCAAGTTTGTCTTATCTAGTATTTTGCCTTATTCAACAACACATTTGACATGCAGCATTTTAGAAAAAAGCAGACTCGAACTTGGGGTGGTCGTGTCAAAAGCTGAATCCTCGTTGCTGATTCTCAGTGTCACTATTCCAGTAGTTTGACCAGATTTTGTTGGTTATATTAGTATATACAGCCTTTTCCAACAAGTTGTGACCCTGGACCACAAAACCAGTTTTAAGTAGCACGGGTATATTTGTAGCAATAGCCAACAATACATTGTATGGGTCAAAATTATCAATTTTCCTTTTATGTCAAAAATAATTAGGATATTAAGTAAAGATCATGTTCCATGAAGATATGAGATAAATTTCCTACCGTAAATATATAGAAACTTAATTTTTGATTAGTAATATGCATTGCTAAGACTTCATTTTGCTCCTTTATGCCTCGCCTTTCTGATATGCATCAATTTTTACAAAGCTCATCGTTCTGAAAAGCGAGGTGTACGCTGATTGGCCAGCTATCCAGTGCGTTGTGATTGGCAGAATACCTCAAGCGTGTGACGGAAATGTTACGCCCCTTACCATAATGTGATGCTGTGTCCCGGCGCGACGAGACAAAACCCATTACAAATTAGGCATTTGTTGCATCCAGGGGACATAATTACGGATTTTAATGACTTATACTGTCTTTTTACGCGTTGCGTTGCATTTCACGCCGTGTCAACATAAAACCATGTCTGCATTTGTGATCGGAGAAACGACAAACAACAAGCGCTACTCTACACTGCTCAAAACTCACATTTGAATCATCAGTGGCAAATTCTTTAAATATGAAAATGTACTTACAGGCTGCGAGTCAGAAGCACCAGACTGTCCTTGCAAAGTTGGTATTGCCCCACTTTATAGAAACAACCTTTGAGCACAGCCGGCATTGTAGGCTACTCTCCCAGGTTCAGGAAAGTCCTCCGTAAATGCGCTGCACACATCTGAATATTTGGGTTGAACTGTTCTGGAACAATGTTGTAAATACAACTTAACCACTGATTTTTAGTTGTGTCCTTTTTTGGAAGACCAAACAAAGTATTTTCGCTTTCACAACGAAACACACAGCATCTCCATGACATGGCAACGTCGGCAACAATACTACAGCGAGAATCAAAGTTACGCCTTCTTTCTTTGCATGAACATTTGGGCGGTGTTATGCAAATCTTCCCACACAGTGACGTAGACATGTGGGGGTATGTTTAAATGAGGCATTTTAGGAGGGCGTGGACGAGTCTTAACTTCTATAAAGAATATCTCTTTGGGTTTGAGACT